GCTAATAAACAAATTAATAACAACTGAACACACTGTGCATCAGCTTCCTAAAGCACTTTTTTACCTTCGTCTTAATAATAATGACAACAGTAATATTTAGCGTCCCGCCCTTATATGAGTCTGAACGAGAAGACGCAAATTGGCCCGTTTTCTCAATTAAACAAGTAAATTGAAAAATATCACTGTCAAGGTCACAAAAACCAAGTTTCCAAGTTTAAGAGGAATTATGACTATTTTCTTCACATACTTTTCATCCATTAGCAATTATGAAATAGCATTTATTACCCAGGCACAAAGTTTACACACTGTAGCACAAATTATCTCCAAACTGAATTCCCTGAGAATACGACAGGTGTGTTTGGAACTGAAGAAAACGATTTTGATGGATCGATTTTTTTCAAACACCGTTCATCGCGTATGACATGTAAGCATGTTATGCAAATTGCACGATTAAGGCCAGCACGTGCAACATTTACACGTACATGACGTGTCAGGTATCAAACCATGCCCTCGCCACCAGCAGTAAGATTAACGTGTCGCGTTGTACTTGACGAGTCTCACACTAGTGAGACCTACAAAACCTACAAAATCCTCAGGGAAATCGACCGGGTAACAAAGGATAAACTATTCAGCACGGGTGGGACACGAACAAGGGGACACAGGTGGAAACTGAGTACCCACATGAGCCACAGAGACGTTAGAAGGAACTTTTTCAGTGTCAGAGTAGTTAACGGATGGAATGCATTAGGCAGTGATGTGGTGGAGGCTGACTCCATACACAGTTTCAAATGTAGATATGATAGAGCCCAGTAGGCTCAGGAATCTGTACACCAGTTGATTGACAGTTGAGAGGCGGGACCAAAGAGCCAAAGCTCAACCTCCGCAAGCACAAATAGGTGAGTAAAAATAGGTGATTACTAGTTAAAAAAGCAGGCAATAATCAAGAAGCCTTCCTGGCAACCTTATTCTTGGAAGCAGTGATGGGAAGGAGGACAGGAGAGTTTCAGAGAGTCTTGTGTCACATTCTCCTTGGTCCTCAAGGGATGTTTAACCAGCAATTGGTGCCATATTGTATTGACTGGCTTCTCAGGGAAACCTGCAATCGTAAATTAGCCCACGTTGAGTTACCCCCCAAAAAAAAGCCAACAACAAGATATCGATTCGTCTGTTATCGATAAATATTGGGGAGGACAAGAGGAACAGGAAATAGTGTAGACACCAGCAGTATTAGCAGCAGGAGGAGCAGTGTGAACCAGGTTACTATGAAGAATGTTAGTTTGTCGAAAGGCGAGCTTCATGTCACGAGGACGAAGGGTATTACTGAGATTTTTTAATTCAGATATGAAGGGAAGGCAGAACACACACAGTGGTACTAATGTTGAAAACAGGTTTGTAGCTGAAAGAAATTTCGTTTAGCTTGAGAATAGGCACAGTTTGATAAAATGTAAGGGGGGGGGGTAAGTAAGACGAGGGAAAGATTTGTTAATAACGGTAATGTCAGAATCAAGAAACTGAGGATCGCTGATGCGTAGAGCGCGGAGGAAGAGAGAGACGAGGACACTTTTCTTAACAGAAGGAGGATGGTAGGATAAGAAGTGAATGTACATACCACCATGTTGTAAGTATGTACATTCACTTCTTTGTCCGTGCCTTCCTCTCTCTCCCATTACACACGACTTGTTGTTAATGGTCCACGACGGACCGAAACCTTGTCGTTTTTTTCATCTTCTGGTGTGCCGTTTGGTCATCATAGTTCCTTACAAGAATAAGAAAAATTGTTTATGGAATATATTATTAAGACACGTCTTAATAAAGGGAAGCGTGGAGATTCACCCGGGACACTGAGTCTCGAGAGAATATAGTGAGCTTAATATTCAGTGAAACTCGAATTTATTATTATTACTATTGACTCGGTGAGTGTCGAGGTTCCGTAGAGCAGCAGCCCGTCCTCCTAAGGCTTCCTAACGTCAAGAAACTGTCGTGTTAAAGTGACTTATCCTAACCTTCCAGAACACACACGGACAGAAAGCAAGACAGTGTCAGTTTCGCAAGCCGCTATCATTTTCTTGTACGATATTTTTTGGCTTTAGGTAGAGTATACGTCAAAATGCGACGTTATAATAGGAGGACGGGTTGCCGTAGAGATCTAGCCCTTTATGGTGCGGTCCTATAACGTCAGGATAGCTCTGTAACGTCAGGATGGCACTATAACGTCAGGACGGCACTATAATATCGTCCTGACGTCATAGTGGCATCCTGATACAGTGCTATCCTAACCTTATAGTGAGTGCCCTGAGATGTTTAATTTCGCGTATTGCATTTAATTTCATTTATTTTGCTTGAACCTTCATTTCTGCCTGTCGTTCACCCATTACTAACGTTCATTTGTGTTCCTCTCCTCATTTCCAACATTGACATTCTTCATTTCTTGGCCTTATTTTTTATCCCCAGTTTTTTCCATTTCGCATTTCCATGTTCTCGTTTTCATTTCCAGTTTCTAAATTCTCATTAATTCCCCTTTTTAAAATTCAAAATTTAAGATTAGCTTACCGAATCTCCGATTTCCAATAATCCTTTTTATTTCTGTTTTTCAAATGGTTTGCAAAATTGTAAAATGTTTGACTCGTCAGTCAAAATTTTTTACAAATGGTGGCAGAGGTAAAACTCATTCGTAAGTCAAAATGTTTACAAGTGGTGGCAGCGTGAGTCACAATGTTTTATTCCATAAGTTATTCATCATTCATTCGAGATTTGTTGTACTGTTTAAGAATTCGTCAGTGATAGATACATTATTGTGTTGACCAGACCACACACTAGAAGGTGAAAGGACGACGACGTTTCGGTCCGTCCTGGACCATTCTCAAGTCGATTGCTCAATTGACTTGAGAATGGTCCAGGACGGACCGAAACGTCGTCGTCCCTTCACCTTCTAGTGTGTGGTCTGGTCAACATACTTTAGCCACGTTATTGTGACTCATCGCCTGTACATTCTTGTGGTCCATTAGATTTTTAACATTAAGGAAGGATACTAAACACCACAAAAAACACTTTTTATACAGTATATTTTCAATAAAGTGTGTGTACAATAAGGGCATGATTGGCACACGTATTATTTACAAGTATTACTTTACAAAGTTTTCTCTATATTTACAAAACTTAGAGCATACTGCAGCGTCGTGAATGGTACAAAAAAAAAAAGAGATACATCAATGTAACACGTAAACGGTACAGCTTATGCACTAGTGACTTGAAGTAGAGGTCAGCGAGAGGGAGCTGAACATTCAAGAAAAGTCTCTCTCTCTCTCTCTCCCTTCCAAGAGGTTTCTAAAACGTCTACAGTACCAAATTCAACGTCAGTTTCCAAAGCTGCTAGATGTATTTTTCACCAAGCTACAACATTACCTTCACAAACTCTCTATCCATAAATGGATAAAAATCAGTAAAAAAACAAAGTTTTCTTTGTATTTGTTTCAAACAGTGCGTCAAAAAATAAAAAAAAAATTTGTTTGTTCAATTATATTTCCATACCTTTTATTTTTCTTTCATCGCAAAGACCTAAACAGTCTTATATAGAACTAGAATTGCTTCTTACGATGCCGTTCATAATTCTTCAGTATTTTCGAACATACCGGAAAGTTTACTCGTATATATTTATGATAAATGATAACGATGATAAATGATGATTAAGAATGAGCGATAAATTAGGATATCCTCGCCAAGAGTGGTTAACCCAGCACCCAGAGCTCTCTCGTAGCCTAGCAACCAGAGTTACCGATCTCACAACCGTGGTATACAGCTTCGAAACCGTGGTATACAGCTTCGAAACCGTGGTATACAGCTTCACAACCGTGGTATACAGCTTCACAACCGTGGTATACAGCTTCACAACCGTGGTATACAGCTTCACAACCGTGGTATACAGCTTCGAAACCGTGGTATACAGCTTCGAAACCGTGGTATACAGCTTCACAACCGTGGTATACAGCTTCACAACCGTGGTATACAGCTTCACAACCGTGGTATACAGCTACACAACCGTGGTATACAGCTTCACAACCGTGCCATACAGCTTCACAACCTGTTGTATAGAAGTTTACAACTATGATACAGAGCTTCACAACCAGGGGTATAGAGTTTTTACAAGCACAGGATTATAAGTTTTATAACCATGGCATGTAGTTTTCCAACCGTGAAATACAGATCACAGCCGTTGTATTCAGCTTCACAGCCGTTGTATTCAGCTTCACAGCCGTTGTATTCAGCTTCACACCTGCTGTATACAGCTTCCCATCCGTTGTATACAGCTTCACAGTCGTTGTATTCAGCTTCACAGCCGTTGTATTCAACTTCACAGCCGTTGTATTCAGCTTCACAGCCGTTGTATTCAGCTTCACAGCCGTTGTATTCAGCTTCACAGCCGTTGTATTCAGCTTCACAGCCGTTGTATTCAGCTTCACAGCCGTTGTATTCAGCTTCACAGCCGTTGTATTCAGCTTCACAGCCGTTGTATTCAGCTTCACAGCCGTTGTATTCAGCTTCACAGCCGTTGTATTCAGCTTCACAGCCGTTGTATTCAGCTTCACACCCGCTGTATACAGCTTCACATCCGTTGTATACAGCTTCACAGTCGTTGTATACAGCTTCACAGCCGTTGTATTCAGCTTCACACCCGTTGTATACAGCTTCACACCCGTTGTATACAGCTTCACAACCGTTGCATACAGCTTCACAGCAATTGTATACAGCTTCACAGCCGTTGTATTCAGCTTCACAGCAATTGTATACAGCTTCACAGCCGTTGTGTTCAGCTTCACAGCCGTCGTATTCAGCTTCACAGCCGTTGTATTCAGCTTCACAACCGTTGCATACAGCTTCACAGCCGTTGTATACAGCTTCACAGCCGTTGTATACAGCTTCACAGCCGTTGTATACAGCTTCACAGCCGTTGTATACAGCTTCACAGCCGTTGTGTACAGTCCTCACCGAACACGGTTTGGGAGAATGAACTTATTTTCCGGGCGACTTCATCCCTGCTGAGCCGGACGAGTCAATAACTGTTACCATCGCGGATTCAAAATGTTCGCCACAGCAAACACGGAAAACTTTTAAAACATATAAACAGAACTTGAATACCTAAACTTGTTTATATTTAACTTGTAAACTGACCAAATGGTTGTGTGTCGTACACTCCGGTCGTATATTTCTAGGTAATTGACTGGAAGTTGTATTGAAACTACAATGCGAATGTATACATATAAGTCCACTACGGGCTCACCATAGCCCGTGCTACTTGGAGCATTTTGTTCCAGGTAGCCAATCTTTAACAACAACAACGACTGTATATAAAGTTTTGCAACTATCTAGGAACAGATGGTTTGCAAATTTCCAGTCAATTATCTCAACATAAACGACCAGGGAATGGCACAAACCCAATTAATTTGTTTGCACATATACAAAATTTATTTTATAAGTTATGTATATTCAAGTAGTGTATGTGAATATATGCAACATAACTGCAACTGTTGCGACATCAACAATTGCAAATGTTGTTTAATGATGTGTTTACCACATGCGGCCTTTGTTTACATGGTGTTTGTGATGTAGGATTTGTTTAGACAATATAATTGTCCATCTGGCTGCAACTCTTGCAAGTATAAGTACATAGCAGTTGTAAGATTTGTTTGGCATTGCGGCGGCTGAGGGCGCCAGTGGCTCACACGCTGACCAAGCTGGCGCTGCGTTCGAAGTCGTCGGAATGATTGTCATAATGATGCCTCCTCCGGGGGCGCCGTAACGAGGCGACGGCGGCGGCGTCTGCAACGGTGTCCCGACCGTGGCTCTTGTGGCGAAGTGAAGGAGGCGGTCGAGGGTCATTATAATAGCTGCTGCCGAGATGGTGGGCGAGGCTGCGTAAGGAAGGGAAGCCTCTGGGGTGAAGATGGGTGACGTGTTGACGCAGTGCTGCGTGAAGATGGGCGGAACACTGATGTAAGGCACCTGAGTCTGGATGGTCGTAGAGAGCATCAAGAAGACACTGGGGCGAGGATGGTCGTAGAGAGCATCAAGAAGACACTGGGGCGAGGATGGTCGTAGAGAGCATCAAGAAGACACTGGGGCGAGGATGGTCGTAGAGAGCATCAAGAAGACACTGGGGCGAGGATGGTCGTAGAGAGCATCAAGAAGACACTGGGGCGAGGATGGTCGTAGAGAGCATCAAGAAGACACTGGGGCGAGGATGGTCGTAGAGAGCATCAAGAAGACACTGGGGCGAGGATGGTCGTAGAGAGCATCAAGAAGACACTGGGGTGAGGATGGTCGTAGAGAGCATCAAGAAGACACTGGGGCGAGGATGGTCGTAGAGAGCATCAAGAAGACACTGGGGCGAGGATGGTCGTAGAGAGCATCAAGAAGACACTGGGGCGAGGATGGTCGTAGAGAGCATCAAGAAGACACTGGGGCGAGGATGGTCGCAGCTTGAATGTAGCTGAATCGAAGACGGGTGAATCGTCTGTGCTTCTACCGGGTTAGGTTGTGAAGCCAGGGATGGTAGCGCGGGTAGCGCCACCCTGGAACCGCCCGCGCAACCAGTGGCCCCACTTCGTGCGCGGGCGTGCCGTGGGCGGGGTTAGTGGGCGTGGGGTGGGCGGGGCTGGAGATAGTGTGACCGTGAGAGGAGGTGGGAGGCGGAGAAGCGAGAAGGCGGGACTCAACGCTAAAGCTAATCTTGCTTTTACTGGTGGGTGTGGGCGTGGAGGAGGTAGGCGAGGCGGGCGTGGGCGGTCCTGACGAGGCTGTGGGCGGTCTGTCCTCCCCACAGTCACTGCTGGAACCCTCGCCGCGGGATTCCCCACAATCCACGTCTTCTGAACACAAGGAGAGAAGCATTCTTAAGACTGGAGAAAATGGGTCAATCGTTATAGGTACTGACAGTGACAGTCAAGCACCAGTCACTGACAGTGACAGTCAAGCACCAGTCACTGACAGTGACAGTCAATCACCAGCCACTGACAGTGACAGTCAAGCACCAGTCACTGACAGTGACAGTCAAGCACCAGTCACTGACAGTGACAGTCAAGCACCAGTCACTGACAGTGACGGTCAAGCACCAGTCACTGACAGTGACAGTCAAGCACCAGTCACTAACAGTGACAGTCAAGCACCAGTCACTGACAGTGACAGTCAATCACCAGCCACTGACAGTGACAGTCAAGCACCAGTCACTGACAGTGAGTCAAGCACCAGTCACTAACAGTGACAGTCAAGCACCAGTCACTGACAGTGACAGTCAAGCACCAGTCACTGACAGTGACAGTCAATCACCAGCCACTGACAGTGACGGTCAAGCACCAGTCACTGACAATGACAGTCAAGCACCAGCCACTGACAGTGACAGTCAAGCACCAGTCACTGACAGTGACAGTCAAGCACCAGCCACTGACAGTGACAGTCAATCACCAGTCACTGACAGTGATAGTCAAGCACTAGTCACTGACAGTGACAGTCAAGCACTAGTCACTAACAGTGACAGTCAATCACCAGCCACTGACAGTGACAGTCAATCACCAGTCACTGACAGTGATAGTCAAGCACTAGTCACTAACAGTGACAGTCAAGCACCAGTCACTGACAGTGACAGTCAAGCACCAGTCACTGACAGTGACAGTCAAGCACCAGTCACTGACAGTGACAGTCAAGCACCAGTCACTAACAGTGACAGTCAAGCACCAGTCACTGACAGTGACAGTCAAGCACCAGTCACTGACAGTGACAGTCAAGCACCAGTCACTGACAGTGACAGTCAAGCACCAGTCACTGACAGTGACAGTCAAGCACCAGTCACTGACAGTGACAGTCAAGCACCAGTCACTGACAGTGACAGTCAAGCACCAGTCACTGACAGTGACAGTCAAGCACCAGTCACTGACAGTGACAGTCAAGCACCAGTCACTGACAGTGACAGTCAAGCACCAGTCACTAACAGTGACAGTCAAGCACCAGTCACTGACAGTGACAGTCAAGCACCAGTCACTGACAGTGATAGTCAAGCACCAGTCACTAACAGTGACAGTCAAGCACCAGTCACTGACAGTGACAGTCAAGCACCAGTCACTGACAGTGACGGTCAAGCACCAGTCACTAACAGTCATCTAAAATGATTAATATACCACAATAATATCAACATAGCAAGCAAATAAATATTAAACAAAATATATCTAAAACTGTTTTGAATTTCATTTTGAATAATTTGACAAATTAATGCTCGCTGAGCGACTAGAGTGCTTCACAACTGAGGCCATAACCTCTACAGGACTACAGAGTGAATCATTAAATGAGACCGTAACCTCTCGACTCGTCCTCGGATCAGGCTCGTTAAAGCAGCAGCTCCCTCTCCAGCCCGTCCTCATAAACAAAGGTCAAAGGTGATTCCATACACCCGCCAAACTCCCTGTTTATGAATAAAAAACGGTTTACACACGAATCACGACAGAGGCCGTTCGAACACTTCCGGAACAAGTGTTTCGCTGACGACTTTAGTTCGAACCACAACGCTGTAAATGCTTCACCCACGTACTATAAATACAAATAATCGCCAACAGAACCTAAACACCTAACCTAACCAGTGCCTAAATATGCACAGTATACTAATATATAACAATATTAATTTATATTTGATAATATTCCTATTCTGAATAAACATCATGTTATAACTGATGAATGCGTTCTTGGGGTCGACTGCTGGATGGAATGGACTTGGTCTGAGGACGGGTTGCTCTCTCCCAGACGCATTCATCGTCTTAACATATTGTGCATTCAACATTGGTTTGTTCTCATAAGTTAATATTATATTAATTTTCTATGCAAAATTAGTCGAAAGTTACACTAAGTTACATTAGGTTGTGTTGGCGATTATTTGTATTTGAAGTTCGTGGGTGAAGCATTTACAGCGTCGTGGTTCGAACAGTGGTCGTCGGTGAAGCACTGTTCGAGAAGTAATCGAACATCATCAATTGTGAGTCGTGTGTAAACTGTTTCTCATTCATAAACAGTGAACTAGGCGGCTGGATTAACGAGCAATTGGCCTTTATGATGACGGACTGAAGCTCTTCAGGACTATAGGATGAACTATTAAACGACCCCATGAACACAATCACATTACACAATTAGCTGCAACTACACTCATTACAAAACTACAGGACAATTCATCAAGACCATTATACGATACATATTAACCCAGACCAAAACCACTGCAGGGCTACATGATGAAACATATGTATCGACGGAGATTACTATACAGTTACTGTATCCTCCTGTGTCACGATAATAGTTATGTATTTAGGCTGATCCAACCCAGCTCAATATATAACCATAATGCGTGAAAATCACGAAAATTAACTCGTGATGAAAAATGTGACAATCTTCAGAATTCCTTCTGAAGAAGTATTAATATACGACAGTACTTAAGGAAATTCCTGTTCCAATTCTTCCCCCGTGGTCTGACACTGTCATATAACCATAAATATGAGAAACAGACAGCCACAGGGGTCAGACAGAAGAGAAATCCCCAATCATTAAGTAGGATGGGAAACTGGACGAGCTGTAGGAATTCCAAGATGAGACATCAACAACATGACTGACATACAACGTCATCAACCAAAAAGTGGCACACACGCACACGGGGGAATTGACAGGGTAGATAAAGACAGTCTATTTAACACAAGGGGCACACCCACAAGGGGACACAGGTCGAAACTGAGTGCCCAAATGAGCCACAGAGATATTAGAAAGAACATTTTTTAGTGTCAGAGTGGTTGACAAATGGAATGCATTAGGCAGTGATGTGGTGGAGGCTGACTCCATACACAGTTTCAAGTGTAGATATGATAGAGCCCAATAGGCTCAAGAACCTGTACACCTGTTGATTGACGGTTGAGAGGCGGGACCAAAGAGCCAGAGCTCAACCCCCGCAAGCACAATTAGGTGAGTACACGTGACTCATCATCTATAGTGACACACACGTGAGTCATCAACGCTTACAGAGGTACACAGAACAATCATCAAATACAGAGGTATACAGGAAGTCATCAACAACTACAGAATTACAGATCAGAGCTAATCAACAAATACAGCGGTACAGAGCAAGATCACCAACACCTAGTAGTACACAACTACCTACTGGAGACACCATTATCTCCAAGGCTACACACACCTGCAACACACCAGTAATGGAGGACCCTGCACTTTAATAGGAACGCTTTTACCATACACCAGGACGAAGGAGGAGACACGTGGAGGAGGACAGACGGGCAGCAGGAACCTACCTGGTCTGTGGTCGTGGTGATGGTGCGCCGTCAACGACAGGTTCAGTTTCTCAGCGTGGACGGGGTGGAGTCCCAGAGCGGCATGCGCTGCCGCTGACGAGGTATAAGCTGCAGGGAGGGCCGCATGCGGCACCCCGGCGCCGCCCCAGATGGGTGAAGACGCAGCTGCAGCAGCGGCGGCGGCGGCTGCAGCGGGATTGGACCAGGGCATGGCTCCTGCCGCGGCGTAGGGATTGTAGAGGCCGTAGCCAGCTGCCCGAGCGAAGTCTGCAGCCGCTCGCTCTGCTGCTCGGTTCCTGAGGGAGAGAGAGACTCGAGGTCAGTGGACGATATCCATAGTTACAGGCGGATGGAAGAAGTATTATACAGTCGTACTGGCTTCCCGCTCTTTCTCTCTCTTGACTACACTTCGCCTCTTGGACAGAGGGATTGAAAGGAACTATTGGTGTGAGAGAAGGCGAGACTGATCAAGTGTGAGCTGCAGGAGATTCTGAACACGTGACACAAACTAAAGAGTGCCTGGACGCACATAGCATTCATGACTGGCAATGTGTTCATCAGTGAACATGACACATACATCACCAGCATTGTATATGCACTACAATCACCAGTGGTTGAGTGCTCAAAACTCACTACACAATATGTTTGTCTATCAGATCTCTCACCCGGCCCATAGAGGACAGATGATAACACATATTTGCTGGTTAGCACTAAAAATATACGACATCGTTTGTGGGAGAAAATATACAAAAAAATGTTTCTAGGTATTTATTTTAATATATATATATAGACGACATTATATATATATATATATATATATATATATATATATATATATATATATATATATATATATATATTATATATATATATGTGTGTTGTTGAATATGACCGAAAGGATAAGATTAATTATTCTAACACCAATCTTTTCAATATTTCTTACGTTCTTCTTCACTGTCGAGGGTAATTGATAAAGTAACTCTCCAAAATTCATTCTTTATTCCTGGTCTGACGCCTGAATGCGTTTCGTAATGCTTATTACATTTTCAAAGACTTAGTTTACAAGACTTGTAAACTAAGTCTTCGAAAATGTAATAGCAGCAGGGGACGTAAGAGTTTGGGAATATATAAGCAACTACAGCTGACTTGACAAAGATCCATAAGCTAGTGTCGATTAATAGAAGTGAGATGAGGGTGAGATGATTAAAACAGGAGAAAGAGGGTAACAAATAGCCATTCCAAAATCCTAACAATAGAATTCATTATTAAAAACAAATTTAGAGCTAATAACACAGTTTTACAAATTCTATTAACGTAGAAATTGGAAGGGGGGAAAACAAATGATATTTTAACAGTTCATCAGATAAGTATTTAGTAAGTCATCAACTGGAGCTTCAGTTATTAAAGAAGTTACATCAAAGCTAACCATTTCATAATTACAAAGGTCTTTCTTATTGCATAATTTTTAAAGTAAATCATTATTTTTTTATATATGAATTACAAATATTGATTACTGTCATGAATATGTTTACTTAATGGGAAGGGAAGGGAACTATCAGGGGGGAAAGCGCCAAGCCATTACAACTTTATAGCGCTGGGAAGGGGTCAGGATAAAGATTTTGGGATGGGACGGGGAGGGAAGGAATGGTGCCCAACCCCTTGGACGGGCGGGAATTGAACGCCGACCTGCATGAAGCGAGACCGTCGCTCAACCATCCAGCCCAAATTCAACAAATTTTTCATTTTTTTTAACTTCTATTAACAGCAACCAAAGGATTCTTTGTCGATCTTATATGTGTATCAGATTCATTTTATGCAGAAAAAAATGAATTTTTTTTTTAAGTGATTCTGATACACATATAAAATTGAGAAAGAATCCTCTGGATGCTGTTATTAATAGTTATAACAGATTCTAACAGTTTTGATTTCAATATAAAATACACTGTCATGTATTGATAAAGCCAGATAAATTGCTCGTAACGCTTCCTTTACTTAGAAAAAGGAGGAAAACCCAATATCAAGTATACAATAATTCTGCCATTTCATGATAATTTCAGTGACACTCCGAAATTACTAAACAAATTTATATCACTGTAGCTTTTAGAAATATTGATATCATAAAAATCACTCATTAAAAATCCCCTCCCCCCCCCCCTAGGTAGTTTCAATGGATGTGTGTGTCAAATTTCATGTAAAAATTGTAATAAGTTTTATGTTGGTCAAACAGGTGAGCATCTTGACCAGAGAATAAAAAAAAACTAAATATAGTATAAGTACAGATCAAGGAGTCCAGTGCATTATTTGTTCACTTAAGAGATTGTAACCATTTAATTGGCTGGACTAATTCATGCAAAATTGGGGAGTGTAAATCAGTTACTGCGAGAAATATTATTGGCTCATCATTTATAAAAAGTAGTGATTTAGATAATAGTAATGGAAGTCCAGAATTATATAACGTAGATTACTTAATAATTGGTAAGTAAGAATACTACTTAATAATTTGTGGAATTCTCGTTTCATTTTCGTAGTGAATATATATATATATATATATATATATATATATATATATATATATATATATATATATATATATATATATATATATATATATATAAATATTTATATGTTTAAATATTAATATATATTTATATATATAATAATAAATATATATATATATAATAATAAATATATATATATAATTTATTTATTTATATATAAAGATCTGCATTTGAGCATACTAGTCACGTAGCAGAGAACATAATACGCATACGAAGCGGCTTGTATGAAAAATATAAGAAAATGATGGGAGGAGATGGGAGGGCTGGAGGCTCGCCTCACCACACACACAAGACAACACCTCGCACCTCTACTTTATAATTCTCGCTCATCAAGAGGGAAGGCAGCCACTGTGCGTGTGTGTGTACTCACCTAGTTGTGCTTGCGGGGGTTGAGCTCTGGCTCTTTGGTCCCGCCTCTCAACCGTCAATCAACAGGTATACAGGTTCCTGAGCCTATTGGGCTCTATCATATCTACACTTGAAACTGTGTATGGAGTCAGCCTCCACCACATCACTCCCTAATGCATTCCATTTGTCAACCACTCTGACACTAAATAATTTCTTTCTGATATCTTCTGTGGCTCATTTGGGCACTCAGTTTCCACCTGTGTCCCCTAGTGCGTGTGTCCCTTGTGTTAAATAGACTGTCTTTATCTACCCTATCACTTCCCTTGAGAATCTTGAATGTGGTGATCATGTCCCCCCTAACTCTTCTGTCTTCCAGCGAAGTGAGGTTTAATTCCCGTAGTCTCTCCTCGTAGCGCATACCTCTCACCTCGGGTACTAGTCTGGTGGCAAACCTTTGAACCTTTTCCAGTTTAGTCTTATCCTTGACTGGATATGGACTCCATATCGTGTGTGTGTGTGTGTGTGTGTGTGTGTGTGTGTGTGTGTGTGTGTGTGTGTGTGTGTGTGTGTGTGTGTGTGTGTGTGTGTGCGCGTGTGTGTGCGTGTGTACTCACCTAACTGTGCTTGCGGGGTTGAGCTCTGGCTCTTTGGTCCCTTCTCTCAACTGTCAATCAACTGGTGGACAGATTCCTGAGCCTACAGGGCTCTATCATATCTACATTTAAAACTGTGTATGGAGTCAGCCTCCACCACATCACTGCCTAATGTATTCCACCTGTTAACTACTCTGACACTGAAAAAGTTCTTTCTAACGTCCCTGTGGCTCATTTGGGTACTCAGTTTCCACCTGTGTCCCCTTGTTCGCGTACCATCCGTGTTAAACAGTTTATCTTTATCTACCCCTGTCAATTCCTTTCAGAATTTTATAGGTAGTGATTATGTTACCCCGAGCTTCCTGTCCTCCAGCGAAGTGAAGTGCATTTCCCGCAGCCTTTCCTCGTAACTCATGCCTCTTAGTTCTGGGACTAGCCTAGTAGTATACCTCTGAAAATTTTCCAGCTTCGTCTTGTGCTTGACAAGGTACGGGCTTCATGCTGGGGCCGCATACTCCAGAACTGATCTTACATATGTGGTATGCAAGGTTCTGAAGGATTCCTTACACAGGTTCGTAAAGGCAGTCCTGATGTTAGCCAGCTTTGCATACGCCGCTGATGTTATTCTTTGGATGTGGGGCTTCAGGAGACAGGTTTGGCGTGATATCAACTCCTAGATCTTTCTCTCTGTCCGTTTCATGAAGAACTTCATCTCCCATTCGGTATCCTGTTGCTGCCCTCCTGTTTCCTCCGCCCAGTTTCATTACCTTACATTTGCTTGGGTTGAACTTTTGTAGCTATTTGTTGGACAATTCATTCAGTTTTTCTAGGTCATCTTGTAGCCTCGTACTCTCTTCCTCTGTCTTAATCCTCCTCATAATTTTTGTATCATTAGCAAATAATGAGAGGAACGAATCTATTCTCTCTGGGAGATCATTTACATATATTAGGAACATTATAGGTCCATGAACTGATCCCTGTAGGACTCCACTGGTGACGCCTCGCCACTCAAGAGCCCTCACCCCGCACAGTGAAATGCTGTCTTCTGTTGCTTAGGTACTCCTTTATCCAATGGAGTACCTTCCCTTTCACTCCGGCCTGCATCTCCAGCTTGTGCACTAGTCTCTTGTGGTACTTGTGCACATGTAGTACTGTGTCAAAATCTTTCTGGCAATCCTGAGCTTTCTAATTCTCCTGGTGAGGAGAGTGAATAATTCTGTTGTTTGGGAGCATATGGTGGGGTTATTCTGCTATTACATATAGGCCTACGTGAACAACATTCTAGTCACAATAATTGCTAACCACCTTATATTGGATAATAACAGTTCATTCACCTAGAAAAGTGGAGTCTCGACCCGCTGACGGTAGCCACTGTCTATGTGGTCTGAGGTTCGAAGTTCATATTGTCTAGGTGAACGAAATGATTTATCCACAATATGTCGTCAGCAATTTATGTGACCGGGACGTGGTTCACCTGACACCTACACGACACACACAGGATTGCTTCAGCACGACACACAGGGTTGCCAAGACACACAGAAGACGTGGACGCAGTTACGCAAATCAGTTATCAGTCTCCGTGGTGTAGTGGTAAGACACTCGCCTGGCGTTCCGCGAGCGCTATGTCATGGGTTCGTATCCTGGCCGGGGAGGATTTACTGGGCGCAAATCCTTAACTGTTGCCTCTGTTTAACTCAACAGTAAAATGTGTACTTGGTTGCAAAAACTATTCTTCGCGGCGGGGATCGTATTCCAGGGACCTGCCCGAAACGCTACGCGTACTAGTGGCTGTACAAGAATGTAACAACTCTTGTATATATCTAAAAAAAAAATTATATATATATATATATATAGGATGAGGATTGGGTCTAGGCTGACACGTAGTATGCTGCCCAGAGAACAAGTACCTAAAGATCCTGTCGATGGAAGGCACGGAGGAGAGAGGACACGGAGGAGAGCGAGAAGACACGGAGGAGAGCTAGAGGACACGGAGGAGAGCGAGAAGACACGGAGGAGAGAGGATACGGAGGAGAGCGAGAAGACACGGAGGAGAGCTAGAGGACACGGAGGAGAGCGAGAAGACACGGAGGAGAGCTAGAGGACACGGAGGAGAGCGAGAAGACACGGAGGAGAGCTAGAGGACACGGAGGAGAGCGAGAAGGCACGGAGGAGAGAGAGCACACGGGGAGGGTGAAGTGTACAGGATACAGTACACGTACCTGAGGAGTCTGTTGTTGGAAGCCTCACAGGATGAAGGACACGGACAAGGGAGGGTGCGGAGGTGAAGACACTAAGGCAAGCCATAGAAGATGGAGGTCACGGAGAAGGGAGGCGACGGAGGACGAAAGGCCCTAAGGAAAGCCACGGAGGTAGGACATTGAGAAGGATGGACACGGTGAAAGAGGGATAGGGATAAGTGATGCAATAGTGGAGGAAGGACGTGGGGGAGAACGAAGAGGGAGGGAGGGAGGACATGTATGAGTGAAGCCAAGAAAGAGGGATGACACGGATGAGAAAGACACGAAGGAGGGAGGCCACGCACCTGAGGATCCTGTTGATGGAGGACACGGAGGGGGCGGTGGAGTTGGTACAGACGCTCTCGGAGATGAGCTTCTCCCTGATCTCCCAGGCGAAGATGGTGGGGTTCTCCCGCTTGTACTGCTCGATCTTGTTCACCACCTGCGGCGTCGCCACCTTCGGCTTCGAGCCCCCGATCATGCCAGGAGGCCGAATTGTTCCTGCAACAGACAACAAAAAATGATTTCATGTTGGGCCTCAAACCCAACATGGAATCATCATTTCATGATCCTATGTTGGACTTCAGGATGAGCCTGACCAACCAGTCCTCAGGAGGCTCGCCAAGGTCAACAAGGTCACCAAGGTCACTAAGGTCACCAAGGTCGCCAAGGTCACCAGAGTTGCTTACTGACCAACAGACAATTAAACTTTAGTCCAGGACTAAAGTAAACTCTTAACGTGTGTATACACCGAGAAGAGGAACTCAATCAATTATTTTACTGTATATATGAAAAAAAATTGTTTTGCGAAACCTCTACACTAGACTGAAGACGTGACCGTAACACGTATAGATCTGTGTGTGTACATAACTAGGTATTATATTTAAAGTGTTTATTGAATGGGCAAAATTAATTTAATTATTTAGATACTGAGTAGAACCAAAAATCAGTATACTAAAAATATAGTTTAATAATTCCTAATATTAATTCATTTTTTTTTATTTTGCTAAGGTCTGGTATTGGACAATATTGATAAACCATATATACAACACACTCTATTGCTTATTATTTAAACAGAAATTTGATAAAGTTTTGGGAACTATAAAAAGTAGCAAGCATTAAGAGCTTGAGACCAGCGAGGGAAGTGAACCCATCACAACCAAGACGACGGATGCTCAACTTCCATCACGAAATTTCGTTTGGAAACAAAATTCTTATACCGAGCGACCACGTAATGTTGTGGGTGAGGTGGCGGACGGCTGACTTACCCAGGAGCTTGGCCATGGCCGCTGTGTGTTGGGAGAGGACGTGTTGGGCCAGGTCGTAGTGGCGGGCGGCGGCGGCGGCTGCGGCTGCGGTCGGGGGCGGGTACCGTATACCTTCCATGGGCGTCGCGCCTCCGCTTGCGGCCGAGACGACGGCGGACTGTGGCTGGAGCACCAGCGGCCGCGCCGGGCTGTACATGTCGCGGCTGCCTGCGGAACACCAAACAAAACCCATTCAATACGTGTTTTTTTATTAATATTATCTTATATCACATGACTGCGACTTCCACACCCACTTCCTGCCTTACTCCTGCCACAAAGGCTACTTATACTACTGCCTCTACAACAGCTGGGGTCAGTACTGCCGCGGATAATGACCCTGACTGAGCACCCACTAATGCAACACCTCTCCAGGATCACAACTGGTCCTAAATATTGCCTTTAATTGATTAAAAGATTTACCAAAAAAGATTTGCAACTACAAAATTATCTTTGCAAATGAGGCGTAGCTCTTTAATAATATATAAGTAATATATAAGGTTATAGACTGTGTCATAGAGGTTATAGACTGTGTCATAATGGTTATAAACTGTGTCATAATGGTTATAGACTGTGTCATAATGATTATAGACTGTGTCATAATGATTATAGACTGTGTCATAGAAGCTGTAGACTGTGTCATAAAGGTTATAGACTGTCATAAAGGTTATAAACTGTCATAATGGTTATAGACTGTGTCATAATGATTATAGACTGTGTCATAATGATTATAGACTGTGTCATAATGGTTATAGACTGTGTCATAAAGGTCATAGACTGTGTCATAATGGTTATAGACTGTGTCATAAAGGTTAGAGACTGTGTCATAGAGGTTATAGACTGTGCCATAAAGGTTATAGACTGTGTCATAATGGTTATAGACTGTGTCATAAAGGTCATAGACTGTGTCATAATGATCATAGACTGTGTCATAATGATTATAGACTGTGTCAAAAATGTTATAGACTGTGTCATAATAGTTATAGACTGTCTCATAAAAGTTATAGACTGTCATACTGGTTATAGACTGTCTCATAATGATTATAGACTGTGTCATAAATGTTACAGTGTCATAAAGGTTATAGACTGTCATAAAGGTTTTAGACTGTGTCATAGAAGCTATAGACTGTATCATAAAGGTTATCGACTGTGCCATAAAGGTTATAGACTGTGTCATAAAGGTTATAGACTGGGTCATAAAGGTTATAGACTGAGTCATAATGGTTATAGACTGTGTCATAATGGTTATAGACTGGGTCATAAAGGTTATAGATTGTGTCATAATGGTTATAGACTGTGTCATAAATGTTATAGACTGTCGTAAAGGATATAGACTGTGTCATAAAGGTTATAGACTGTCTCATAATGATTATAGACTGTGTCATAAATGTTACAGACAGTGTCATAAAGGTTATAGACTGTCTCATAAAGGTTATAGACTGTGTCATAATGGTTATAGACTATGTCATAAAGGTTATAGACTGTAACATAATGGTTATAGACTGTGTCATAAAGGTTATAGACTGTCATAAAGGTTATAGACTGTGTCATAATGGTTATAGACTGTGTCATAAAGGTTATAGACTGTGTCATAAAGGTTATAGACTGTCATAAAGGTTATAGACTGTGTCATAAAGGTTAAAGACTATCATAAAAGTTATAGACTGTCATAAAGGCTATAGACTGTGTCATAAAGGTTATAGACTGTGTCAAAAAGGCTATAGACTGTGTCATAATGGTTATAGACTGTGTCATAATGGTTATAGACTGTGTCATAAAGTTTATAGACTGTGTCAGGAAACAGAATGAAGGACAGTACCTAATAATTTTCATAAACCCAAAAATTGAAAAAGTTGCAACGATTGAGTCGAGTCCTATGCTACAGTGAGCGAGATTCGTGTGCTACAGTGATTCCTGTGCTAGAGTGAGTGAGTGCTACGCTACAGTGAGAGAGTCACATGCTACCGTGGGAGAGCCGTACACTGTCAGTGAGGGAGTCGTTCACCGTGCCGTGACGCTCAGAGCAGGTGTCAAATTTATTCGAAGGTGCAACAAGGAGCCGAGACTTAACCAGTAGACACAGTCAAGTGAGCTATATAAGCAAGCCTCTGCCTGTTTACCCTCGACACACACAGTTACAGCCCCGCTCCTGTGCCAGGCAAGTCCACTACGGGCTCACCACAGCCCCGCTCCTGTGCCAGGTAAGTCCACTACGGGCTCACCATAGCCCCGCTCCTGTGCCAGGTAAGTCCACTACGGGCTCACCATAGCCCGTGCTACTTGGAACCTTTTGTTCCCAGTAGCTGAATCTTAAAACAACAAAAAACAAGTTTACCCTCATACTCCACAGTGCTTCAGCAACCAGTGGTAAACACGGCTCACACTCAAAGTTTACGAGCATTAAATTAAGTAAGCTTATCCCCCATAATCAGACTCGAGGTCCTTAACTAACCACCACATGCATTAAACAAATAAATAGACACTACACGTCGTGGTATTTTCATTATCAACGAGATAAATAATAATGAAATGTGAAATAATCTCATATAAAACAGATGATCGCGTTCATTTGAGGCGCGGATCATCCCCCGCTCGTGAAGGCACAGGTGTGCTAAGCCCTCAACACTGCCCGCATGAGCAAGCGGCGGAACCCTGATATAAGGCGACGGAAGGCGCGTTAGGGCGCTTCCGGGTCACGTTATAATGTCATATATTTCTGAGCATATTATTATTATTATTATAGATCTCGGAGAGGGAGCAGAGAGGGTTGGTGGCGGGTGTAGTTCCCGCTCAGGTGTGTGGTGTGTGGCTGCATGGGCACGCCGCCACAGGTGTTTTTCTCTAATCTGGTGTTTTATGAGTCTTGTATGTCCTTAAGAACGCTACCACGGGTGTTTTTGAGTAGTCTGATCCCATATGAATCCCATCATGCATCCCGTCACTTGAATCCCATCATGACAGCCTTCAGGGACGTAAACGAGACTGCTTGTAGAACATTATATACAGTCTAATGTTACAAGACTGCGCCCCATCATTGAGGACGCCGAATGTAACGATACCTGAAGGAAAAAGTATTAGTTTGGGATATGATCCCAACGTGTAAAATACGCTCTGGAATCAACAGAAAAAGAGACATCACGTTGAGGTTTATAAGAAGCGTGACGAGAGGACATCTACAGGTGCTTCTAGACAGACAGACGAGCCACAGTGACGTGCAGGAAGTCTTTCAGTCAGTGTGAGGGCAGTTTAAGCAAGTGGAACTAAGTAGTAAGGATGACTGTAGAGGTTGGGGGGTTGAGTCATCGTGCTGTACGACCCACAGTGGGAGAAGGTCTTGTCAGAGACCCGAGCACCGCCGGAACACTGGTCCTGGGAACCAACGCAGGGAAAGCCAGTCATGAGAGAGAGAGAGAGAGAGAGAGAGAGAGAGAGAGAGAGAGAGAGAGAGAGAGAGAGAGAGAGAGAGAGAGAGAGAGAGAGAGAGAGAGAGAGAGAGAGAGACGAAGGGGGGGGGGGAGCGGTGGTGTGTGAACAAAAGGAGACAAAAGTATACACCAAAAAGGAGGCAGAGATTAGTAAGAATATCTTCAGTGTCATGGTAGAGGAGAAGCGCTGTTCACCAGGGGAGAGAGAGATGTAAAAGAGAAGCGGCGTGTACAATGAGAGCGAGGTAGAAGAGAACGACTCCAAACAGCGAGTCATACGGCGTTACAATGTACACTAATCGAGCATAGGAATGAACCACACAAATCGATCGAGAACCTTGTGCTCGGAGCCTGCAGCTCGACCTCCCAACATTCCCATGACAATATTCTCTCAACATGTACCGCAAACATGTGCTGCTGGATTTTGGTCATAATACCGGAAACGATTATGGGAATTTAACAAGGTAACAATGCAAACATTACATAACATGCATATTCCGGTTAAAATAAGACCGGATAAAACGCAGCAGATGGGACGCTCGAGCGCCGGGTTCCACCGTCCTTATGACGGTTTCAGGGAATACATAAATATTGATTTAACTTTGCGTAGCCGTGAGTTACTCCTGTGTGTGTGTGCTGCCTGGGGGCGAGGGGAAGATATATATATATATATATATATATATATATATATATATATATATATATATATATATATATATATATATATATATATATATATATGCAATTGACGATCGCGAAACACTGATCATTTGTATGCGGAAAATGAAAATCCACAGAGAAATGAAAAAGAAAGATGAACGTTTCGGCCGATCTGGGCCTTTGTCAACACCTGTGTTGAAAACACCTTTGTCAACACCTGTGTTGACAAAGGTGAAACGTTCATCTTCCTTTTCCTTTTATCTGTGGATATTCCGCATATATATATATATATATATATATATATATATATATATATATATATATATATATATATATATATATATATATATATATATATGTGTGTGTGTATATCACGAAAATAAACACGTGATTAAGAATGTGACAATGTCAGACCACGGAGGAAAAATGAAACAGGAAATTCCTTAAGTACTTTCGTATATTAAATACATCTTCAGAAGGACCTTCTGAAGATGTATTTAATATACGAAAGTACTTAAGGAAATTCCTGTTTCATTTTTCCTCCGTGGTCTGACATTGTCATATATATATATATATATATATATATATATATATATATATATATATATATATATATATATATATATATATATATATATATATATATGAACACGTTGTACTGAACGGGGTAAGAATAGGTTGAGCTACCTCATCCCTTTGTGTGTATTTAAACACTTCAATTAACTTATTTGAATTTGTAACCTTAAACTTTCTCTGACCCGTATGAGAGTGTTGTTCAACTGGTTGCATTACAATTTAACTTTCCTGACGGTTTATTTCTTTGTTAAATATGAACTAAAAGTCACCTCCATGAACATCATCCTTAAAGTTGTGGATGGAGGTGGCTTCCACGACTTCGTATTTTAGTGAATTTCCCTTGTTAGTCTTCCGTACAGCGTACGAGTATTTCCTTACGTTTTCGGCACTCATTTGCGTTTCCAGCTTCCAACTATGTTCTCTAAGTTCTATTTTCTACCCGTTTGAGACTGTCCTTATCAATCTTGCCTATTGTTTCAGTATTTTGTATGAAGTGATCATGTTACTTGA